CCTTGCTTTAGGCATTTCCGCTCCCCTGTGCGCTGCACGCGAGAGCCAAGGATCCGATGGTTACCGAGGTGCTGCTTGAGTATGCGAGATTTCTACGTTCCTCCTCAATGTAAACCCAGGTAGAATTGTCGAACACCTCAGCAGCCAAAACTCAGAGCAGTGGGTTTGTTGCATATTATGCAAACGAATGTCAATATTCTACATAGTATGAAAGGCTTCACAAAATCGTCAGCTGTCGTAGTGTTGTGCGAAACACAAACTTTTAAATGACGGCTTCAGCGGGTTTTTAATTCAATTAAATAGTAAACTTTTCAATCCCCGGGGAATACGTCTGACGATCCTTCATCATGAAGCAATCACCAACAGGCAATCTGCTAATGTCCAATGTTCCTATCAAATTGATTCAAATAAATGGTTCAGCCACTGCTAAAGTGAAGAGCCTGGTTAAGACAAAAACCATGTATCCAACTGATCCCCTCACATCGATCAGATTGCAGAATTAGATGCTACTTTCGAAGCTTGTCAGTTTTTGTTCATTAGGAAGGATCTGTAGACGTATGCACGTAAGTTCTAGAAAACCTACCTAACCCCGGGCCATCAGAAGCCAAAAGATGCAACCTCAAGGAAAGGCCTCATTCTGCCTGTTGCCTGATGTCCCCAGTAAATCGGACAAGTACGGCTAACTATGGCGCCTCTGAAGTGAAAACGCGGTTTTAAACAAAAAGTACCTGTTTGCTAGAGGTAGAACGTTACGTTGTCTAAAGTAAGGTTTTAGTTTGCCCTGCGCGCCGGCACGCAGTCGGACATCTTCAACTCGTCTTTCGTACACCCATTGCAATAAAGTCAGTATATCTATCGCAGCAACGAAACTGATCCTGAGATATAGCAATACAGACTCACTTTGGTGCCACCAAATCTGCCCAACTGATGTCAGCTTCATCGTGAAGATAAATATGGTCCTTTCCAACCAACATTGCACTACGTGGCACTCGAAATATTTCCAGTCTGCTTACTGAACACATGAGCTGCATTTTTTCAGAAAATAAGCCACCACGTGTGGCACATGCGGACTGCTTAAAGCCATAGCTCATCTATTGAGGCCCGAAAAATTTTGTGAGGTTCACGGCATAACTGGGCCATTGTAAATGTTTAGCGTCGAATTGGAAACTCTTAGGTAGCAGTTAAGAATTACCATCTAGCCAACACTTGGCGAACCAAAAAGATTCCTCTAACTATGTGCTGGTCTAACCGGCCCACTCCTGCTCGACTATTCAACCTTCTTGTCGACCCCAAAGGGGGCACAGTATGGTCGTTGGCTTGTTCGCTGAGCTGGGCAATTTGATTGCAAACGTTTCATCACCAATCTAGGTGACATCATCAGTGCGTTATTGGGGGGCGTAGTTGTGCGTAGCTGTGGGTGATAGTGGTGGTAGTGACATAACCACTAACACACCGCCACGCACAACAAGGCCCCCAATAACACACAGATGATGTCACCTGGACTGGTGATGAAACGTTTGCAATCAAATTGCCCAGCTAAGTGAACAAGCCACCGACCATCCGCAACCGACATTTTCCTTTATAGGAAACCAATTCGGGGTATGGTATTTTTTGAAGCGATTCGAGAAAACGTGCAAAATAACGATCATTCTTACATTCCGGGACACACGCTCGATTGCCAGTATTGCCGAACCACTAAAACACAGAACACCACAGAAATCAGGTTCATATGGCTTGCTCAAAACTATGTGCGTTCCTCTTCATTCGCACAGGAGCATTTTCACTATGCAATCATCACCAGATTCTACAGGACACCCGTCATCTCGCAGCACAACCGCACTTATTGCTTTTCGAGAGAAATGCGTACCAGTTGAAGATAAGTGTAAAAGGCTCACTAACGATAGGAGTCATGCTATCCAAAAACACCGTTGCTTTCAGACGAGAAGAAATGCGTCCTTCACAATAACTCAATCAAAAGAGCCGGCCGGCTAAAACTGAACTGAGGAGGCAGAGCCAAACTATTAGGCTCCTACTGACCAATATCCTCACTAATACGGAGATTTGCGGAGTCTATCTTTCGCCACCTTATTTTTCCCATATGATTCCTTATCAACACTAGAGTGAATTTAATGTAAAGCTTAAAAACAACGAAAGAAAGCAACCAGTATCCGGACTAGAACCGGTGGGTTTAGTGTGTGCACGTGTGGAAATTTAGAGGAATGTAGGCTGAAACTGGAGTTCATTCGATATTCTCCGCAGCTTCTGTACAAACAGCTGAGAGGAGAAGACAGTCCATCCATCATAAGCTCCGGTGATTGACGCACCAAATTCGGTTGTACCCGGCTAAGTGTACTGTAAAGTGAATACGGTCAGATAAGCTACGTTGCCAGGAGAAGTGTCAGAACTTTGCCAAGTAGCAACGGAGCTAAAAAGCATGCGTTTTACTTTGAGAAATTTTGTTAGGTAGTCGTGTTGAGACAGTCCTGCGAGAAGGAACGAATATCAAAGTGTAGCTGGTAGACCAGCTACAATTAAACCGTTTTAATTTTACCTTGTGTGTTTATAAGGTGAAAGCGGTGTAGGTAAATTTGAAAAAGATTATCGCCAAGTGGATGTGGATGCTAGGCCAGTATCTGACGCGTACAGGCAAACAGACCCCAATTAAAGGCCAAGCTAGGAGTCACTCATTTGAAAGGGCATGCAGAAATGGGCAGTTTGGGACCGGTTTGATTTTATGGAGGTTCTTGTTTTGGACCATCGCCTTGACAAGACTGGAAAAGAGTAAAATATAAGTACAGAACCAATTTATATACCCGCTCTAAGTATATGAGGCTAAACGTGGTATTTTCGTTAAAGCTACTGGTGAGGCTCCAACTTAGAAGAGAACTTGAAGTGAGACAGCTTTTCCGGAGAGGGAGGCGGCAATGTTGTACAAGTTTGATCTGGGTGTCTTTATTATACCTGGGCAGAAATTTTGCTCTCGATAACGGTTTCTGAAGATAACCCGAGAACAGGTAAAGTAAAAAAAATTGGCAATTCACTAGAGTCAGTGAGAAACAGCAGCACTCAAAATGGATTAATTGCTTGGTATTGGTTGAGGCTTTTGAGCAAATAAAAGACGAAGTGATCTCACTGAATGGTCGGATGCCCGGACTGATGTCGATTTGCAGAGAACCTGGGTGACATCCTCGCTTATAAGTGAAGATGAATATTGTATGGTGTATCAATTTATTGTTGCCGTTTAGGGTGAAGATTGTGTGAAGATGACACGAAAAATATCGATGGCTGCCAATGATGCGACTGGGTTGTCACGCTATGTTTTCACGTCACAGAGGGACGAAATAGCTGAGCAGAGAGTAAGTTTTCTGAAAATGATGAAGATTCGGAAGCCTGTGACAACCATTCTGAGGGCTTTAAGTCACATGGACCAAGAGCCACTAACGAAGTCATGGAGTGCCAGTTCACTTAAGAAGGCCGACAACCAAAGTGTAAGGTGGCTAGTGGTGCCAAATTCATCCCGGCTTCATACGGTCGTGGCGGAAAGGAATCGTATCAGGTCCCTACTAGTCGAAGATGAGGTGAGTGCCTGCTCACGGTTTAGCCGCATTTGGAGAAGTCTTCCGGAAACGGGCATAGACCAATTGGACTAGAACAGTGTTGGACAGAACGCGTTAAAGTACATGCGGGTTGTCCGAAGAGAAAAAAGACTTAGGTGTCATATCTGGATTCCACATCAGCTTGCTTCCTAAGGGATGTGAATCGGTGTTTGGAGACGTGGCTGAAGCACCCATCACACATGTGAAAAAGAGCTTACCGAGTGAAGTGGAAAGAAGCAAGGCACTCACTAAACTTCATAGAGTGGATACTGTTCAGACCAAAGGATCTCTCAGGTTGAACATGGTTAGATTTAGTAACGTTGGAAATTCCGAAATTGTATAATGAAACTGAGGGGGCACACCTACGTTTGCACGTGAAAAGACTTTTAGCAGCAAGGTCGGGTGCACAGCTCATTTCGCTTCTGCAAGCGCTTGGACTGATTCCTCAATAGACATGGCTGAACTAGGTATGGAGTGCCAACGACCTTTGCGTTGATGCAGACCTCACGCAGACGACAACAAATCTAGCTTAATCGTACGCAAAGGATTTTTTCCGGGCTACTCAGAAACCGGTGATTGGCACCGAGTGTCCTTCCAAATAAAGGTATTAGACGTAGCCAAGCTTGTATGAGCTTCAAAAGCACTTGACGCACATCCTAATGCTCAACTATAAGAGGCGGTCAAGTGTCTAAGCTAGCACGCTGTTTGATTTTCTTCGTAATAAGCTCACGAAAACAGTGCCGACGTCGCGTGGATAACGCTCAGAATTTCATCGTCCTTGACGTAAAATAAAAACGAGGGGCAAGTTGCTGAACAACTGGATAAACGTGGTGCTACGTTAGCACACGAAGTACGAACAAAAGGCGCCTGTGGAGACAAGCTTCGTCACAGTGTTCAACAGGGGAGTTATACTATTACTTAAAAGGCCCGGGCGAGGAAATCGATGTCTGATAAGAGACGTGGTTCTTTTGTTGAGGTGTTGTCGCCAATGGGATAGACACACCATAGAGGGATAGCTTATTGATTCGTTTGAAAAAAGACCTAGGTTCTGAGTTTCCGGTTATGCATCCGCTCCACCTTGATACCAAGTTCCTCAGTAAATGAACATTAATAAGATAGCTGTTATATTGCTCGCTCACCCAGCTTCCACAGGGGTCCCACTTATAGGGCATGCGAGTGCACTATTGCCCTTCTGAATATCCTAAATATATATCCCGAATATAAAAAGTAAAACAACCAAGGGCAAGCTAGCCTTGAAAGCTGCTCTGAAGTCTGAGAGCTTGCAAACTGCATCACCATCGAGCCGCAAATACTCGGATGCCCAGACCGATAAGTTAAAGACCGGATCATATATTTGCCAGAGAAGTCGTAATCTTAATCTACGACTCGACTTTCAATGATAAAATGCAGCCGGAACATCCAGTCTCACCACCGTGGCGCTTTTTGGTACATGGAGACCCAGGCCCGCAGTGCATTTGCACCAGTAAAGGATCGACCACGACACCCAAGGCACTGGTAATAAGCAGATTTTCAAAGGTGAGTGAGGTCAACTGGACCCTCTTATTCAGTTTCAATCTGGGAGCAAGGAACTGCATCATGCCGAACATGCCTGGACCAAACTTCCAGTCTTGGTACCGCAGTGAGATGTGCCGATAGTCAGTGCGACAAAGGTGGAGACCTACCAAAGCACAAGCATCACACCAAAGCTCCGGGTGTAAGTAATAGACCTTCCGTTGAAGGGGACAGTCATCATCTTACGCATCAATGGCGGTACATAGAACTGGACTGCACCTAACTGCACCGGCGGAAATATTATTGCACTCCAGGCCAGTCAGCTCATCCAACATTTCACGGCCCCGTGGAGAAAGTGTTGCGTCCGCCGATAACCGTGTAACAGAAAGCCGGTTTGTTTACTTAAAGTAACAGAAAAACGGCTCCAGCTAGTTTGCATTCATACATTTTCCTAGAGACGCCGGAGTGTGGGGCAAAGCCCAACTTGTTATTTCCCCACGCGAAGGTGTTCTGGCAGGCAAATAACCACGTTGATTAGTGAAATAAGACAGAGAGTTGAGCTTTGGGCACACTTCTAAGTCATTATGGGGTGTAAACGAGCGAGGAGGCCAAGGGTTTTATATCTACATTGCTGATGAACGGAAAAGCGTTGTCGGCCGGTAAGTCCGCAAACAGAGCAAAGTTTCCGTGGGCTTGTTGAAAGTGGTGCTATAGGTTACGTTGTTCCAGTGTTTTGAGGACCCACGCAAAGACTCAACGTATGTACCTTTCCGGGTCCGTAGGCTTCGAGAACGAGAAGACAACCTTTTGTCTGTGATGTCTCCGTTTCCTTATTCCTAATGGCAAAATGCCATAAACGGAGTGGTAGGGCGGACCAGGTGATCCGTAATAAGCAAGAAAGCCAGTAATATGGTTGCATATAAGGCTTTCTGACCATGTGGGCACCTTCATCTGATTGACATTTTGCGGATGATGGGTCCACGAAGCCAACTTCCTCTTGTTTTTCGACTCCCCAAGAAATTTGGTCCCTTCACTCCTCTGACCGTTAGAACATTTATTTATACACGTTCACTTGCTTAATCAGTGCCAAAGAAAAAGGCGGGATGGAGGGTCGGTGGAAAAGGGGCAAATATTGAGATGCATAATGAGTAAAAAATACGGGGTCAGTGATAAAAGCGGTAAGCGTCGTTGGGAACATACATTTGAAACCCATTTTCTCGTCATCCGAATGCCACGGACAGGCACAGCTAGAGCAGGCGCCGCAGGTCCCCTATATCTTTGCCCGGGTTGTGCCTGGGGTTATTGTTTACGAGCTCATCCACCGTGGCAGAACGCAACGAGGTGCAGACCTTAGTGACCCCAAGGAATAAGCATTGATTCCCATGGAATATACAGTTATGCAGTCTCTTAAGTTGTCAACTGCGTTCTGTCGGCTGACCGTCATTGCTGCGTGGCACGTTGGCCGAAGGTGTCAGGACGCAACAAAGAGGTAACCCTCGTTGAGAACGTTCAACGAGCAGCTACGAAAACGGTTGCCGTCCTTTAATCCGGCAACTGTGATACGAGTCTCGTGGTGCTTGGCATAGTTCTCCTGAAGTGTTGTTGCCTCCGAGGCGGCGTAATGCTCACTTAAGCCCGGTTTAAACAAGGTTTGGCCAACAGGTTTTTTATTGTTGATCAAGCTAACACACGGTGGGTAAATGGTGAGATCTTCAAACTCAGAGCGCACATTTTTATTAGGCAACAGTTTTTCTCACTTCAAGCATTCGGTGTGTGGAATAGCTTTCCTCTGACGGTTGTTTACGCAGAATCTAGTATCCCATTCAAAGTGCATTCGCCTCTAATTTGGGTCATCGTACTTGCAAGCTTAGTCCCTTTGCTGATAACGCAAAGCGAAGTGCCTGTACCTTTTAGGTGAATACTAGCCGCTGAAAGACAGGCACAAACATGACCCGGGAAGTTTGGTCGAAGACCTCGATTCTGAGTACCAGTCCGCGAACCTAGGGGGTAGCTAAGTAGGAATAAGTTAGGAAGTTTTGAGCTCTCCGCACACTCCAAATCCTGCAAACGATCAACCAGAATTCTCGCAGCTCTTTGATCCTCCCATTGCAATTCGCACGATGCTCTGGGATATGATATGCATTCACATTTCCCCAAATGCGAGCAGGGGCGTGCGGCACGGAGAACTGTGAAATCTGTAGGCGTAGTATCCACAAAAGACCTGAATTGGCTGGCAACACACAATTGGGCAGGCCGAGTAAGCTATGAAGAGCAGAGTTGAAGGATGAAGCAAAAATTGAAATGCGAAAGTGCGGAAAAAAGAACCATGAAAGTAGGCAGAAAACTTGTCCCCGATACTGGTAAAAGGAAGAAGGCCTTGGCAGCGGAGTTGTTTAGTAGAAAATACCGACTGAACAGTTACAGACTAGTAGACGGGAAAGCAAAACTCTCATGTGCATCTGGTTTGAAAATCTGAATATCCGTCCTCTTAAAAGCGCCTTCTCGAACTTTCTTAGATATTCATCGACTATCACTCAAATGTTGGCTAATGCTGTAAAACAGCCCCACAAATTCCGCAAAAAATCTCACTTTCCAATAGACGCGAAGTGGACTCATGAGAAAACGTGTTACTCGCACACCTCATCAGTAGTATTCACCGTTACACTGGTATTTATTTTGAGGCACATCAAAAACACGGGGGACGCGCCTTCAAACGGTCACACTTATCTGTCGATTCATCCCTTTCGACGTTTCCCACTTGGAATTACAAATAGCGTTCGCTTCATTAGGCCCATGAGAATCCTATGTAGACATTCTGACCAACCAAAACCTACGCTAAGACTGAAAATATCAAAGTTCGGCCAGGTCGACCGAACTGGGCTGATGACTCTCTGGGGAGGCTTTAGCAAGGGCACCAACAATCGTTTTTCAGAACGCAGATGCTGCTCTTCCAACTTTGTTCATCTACGGCCCACGGACCGTCCAGTACTACTTGATACAACTCCAATGTGAGTGTGGGAGCTAGCTAGTCGTCTCCCCCCTGCCTCTGGTTGACAGAAGGCTGACTTCCGACCAATGGGCGTACCGCGTTTGTGACACCCTACCGCCTTTGCAGTCGAGTTGAACGCTCGCTCCAATGTCGGCTATTTTAGGTGGCCCTTCTATTCTTTCACGTGGTAAGTGCACTCACATAAAATGGCACAAACTACTGCTTATTTCCCAAACGAATGCGTATCTAATAAGCATCTTCGTCGCCCAACTATTTATATTATTCTCGTTATGACGGGGTCTATAAGCACGCAGTACGGGTCTGCCTCAGTGCGTTGTTGCCCTACCAATCCCGTATACATCATTTATTCGGTGACTAAAATACTAGACGAGAGCCTCATTCGGATTTTGTCGGCAGCCCGCATCAGGGTTCTTCCTTAGACGCTATATGTTGGTAGGATTTTCCTTCCTTCATACTGTCGGCTATCGGACGTGTTTGGTGTCTCATACTGATTAGTTTGTAAACTTTTTGAGACGTAGTTGAGGGTATGCAAACCGATTTCCACTATACATACGGGCAAGTAGTCTGTCTGACTACTAACCCATATAGTCAGTTTTCTGTCCGTGTGTAATACTTCAACTTTCCTTTTCTCTTCGCTTCTTCTATGCTGGCGGGTTATGTGCACCGGCTAGCGTGTATTCTGTTGAAAAGTCATGAGTGTCCTGCGATATTCTAGAAAGCGACCGATATATCTGGCTGTAAAGCCTTCTGGTAATTTGCGTCTTTATCCTATCGTTCCTTCGCATGTTGTGTGGACTCTACATATCTAATTGCCCTGCTACTGCTGACGTTCCGCCCCACTTCTTATGCGGCTGTGGTTGATTCTTCTGGTGCATCGAATGGACAACCTTTCGGGCCTAAATACCTCAGCAACAATACCAGCATTGACTTTAACTGAATGTAATTGTGTTGCAGGCGTTGAACACTCCTGTCGAAAGAATGGCTTGAGGCCGCTGGGGCGACCTGGATCTGAACAGATCTGTTTCCGTGAAAGCGAAGGACAACCCTTTATCCACTTGTTCTTCCGAGGTCCTTCAGATGTAAATCAGGTTGTCATTATTTGTGATATAGCTTGTTATAATTAACCCGACACACTTACTGGTAATAGCTTGCTTGGGCGAGGTGGTCCAAGTGGTTAGAGCGCGAATTCACTGACCGGAAGGTCCGTGGTTCGAGCCCGACATCTACCCTGTCTAGGCTTGGGCAACCTGGCAGTATCTCAGCCCTCGCGCTTCCTCCTGGTGGTGTGGCAGTTTGGCATCGAAAGGATGCTACAGCTGAACGATCATTATTTTATTTAACAGCTTGCTACTGCTTTTTGGTCCCGTCTAGGATGTGCTTCAGTCGAAACATATCTTCCTCGGCGAGAGAATGGTTGACGGTTTGTCCGTCCTCGTGCAATGCCCGTACGTACAAATCCAGTAAAGCGCCCTGACAAGACGAGGACTACTTAAACGAGACTGATATGAACATGCGTCATGCAGATCCCACTGCCACCTAAATCCGATGAAAGCTGATCGGAATACCATAAAATTCTGATGACAATTGTCACTTTATGATTGATTTGTTGTTCGTTTCTCGAAAAAGTTATGACAGCGTGTGGCAAATGATATCCACATACCACGTGCCATTAGGTCCGTCCAACTGGAAACACGGAATTTCTGATAATTTGAGGCATACGACGCCGACACCAATCTTGAAATTCATCCTCAACATCTTGCAAGCGGTTGACATTTCCATCCGACCTGAGGGTTATCCGCTTTTCATGTCATCGACATTGAACAGCCAATCTTTTGGAAGATCCATCTACACTCGCGAAAAGCTCTGGACTGATGATGAACCGCTTAAGTAGTGGCGGATGAACTGTCTTCCAAGTCAAAATTCGTCTTGCAATCTGATAGACACGCACACACAAACAGCTATCTGATAGAAGGTCATCTACAAGCGCTTGTTTTACCAAGAAGTCTATGGAGAG